TTGGCAGCTAATGGCTACTCAGCTCAAGGTGCCCTGTTCAGTCTTAGTTGCGGGTGGGCATAGCGCAGCTGGCAACTTTGTTGTTAGGAGCATGTGCTCTCACCAGCTGAGCCATCCTACCACCTGTTGGCAGCTCAGTGGCAGCTCAGCTCGGGAGCAGCTCACTGACGGATTGGGAATTGAACCAGCGATAATGTTGCTCAGAGCTCGTGCTCTTAACCAACTGAGCCACTCGGCTAACCCAGACAAAATTTACTTTAAAATGAAGACTATAAAAAGAGACAAAAAGGGATATAATGATAAAGGGATCAGTCCAACAAGAAAATATAACCCAAGTAAACATCTATGCACCCAACATAGGACTCAAATATATAAAAGAAATATTGACAGGCAAAAAGGCAGAGATTAACAGTAACACAATCATAGTAGGGGACTTTAAACCTCACTGACACCAATGGACAGATCTACAGACAAAAAATCAACAAGGAAACAGAGGCCTTAAATGACACACTAGAGCGGATGCATTTTATTGATATTTTTAAAACATTTCACTCCAAAGCAGCAAAATATACATTCTTTTCAAGGGTACATGGAAAATTTTCCAAGTTGGACCACAATGTTCGGCCACAAAACCAGTCTTAATAAATCTAAGAAGATTGAACTCATATCAAACATCTCCTGTGACCACAATTGTATGAAACTAGAAGTCAATTACAAGGGAAAAAAACATACAAGCACATGGAGGCTAAATAACATGCTACTAAACAATAAATGGGTCAACAATGAAATCAAGGAAGAAATCAAAAGATACCTTGAGACAAACGAAAATGAAAACACAATGACCCAAAATCTGTGGGATACAGTGAAAGCAGTCCTAAAAGAGAAATTCATTGCAATGCAGGCCTACCTAAAGAAACAAGAAAACTCTCAAATAAACAATATAACTTTACACCCAAGGGCCTTGGAAAAAAGAACAGCAAACAAACCCCAAAGTGAGTAGAAGGAAGGAAATAATAAAACTCAGAGTGGAAATAAATGAAATAGAAGCTAAAAAATACAATGCAAAAGGTCAGTGAAACCAAGATCTGGTTCTTTGAAGTGATAAACAAAACTGATAAACCTTTAACCAGACTTATCAAGGAAAAACAAAACCCAAATAAATAAAATCAGAAATGAGAGAGACGTCACAACCAACACCACAGGAATATAAAAAAATTTAAGAAAATATGAGCAATTACATACCAACAAGTTGGACAATCTGGGAAAAAATCGATAAATTCCTAGAAGCATACAGTCTTCCAAGGCTGAATCAAGAAGAAACAGAAAATCTGAACTGACCAATTACTACTAATAAAATTGAATCAATAATCAACAAGCTCCCAACAAACGAAGTTCTGGACCAAATTGCAGGTGAATTTTACTAAACATTAAAAAAAGAACACCTGTTCTTCTCAAAGTATTCCAACAAATTCAAGAGGAGGGGAAGCTCTGAAGCTCATTCTACGAGGCCACCATTACCCTGATTCCAAAACCAGACAAAGACATTACAAAAAAAGAAACTTATAGACCAATATTCCTAATGAACATAGATGCAAAAATCATCAACAAAATATAAGCAAACCGAATTCAGCAATACATGAAAAGAATATACCACTATCAAACGGGATTTATTCCTGGTATACAAGTTTGGTTCAATATCTACAAATCAATCAATGGGATACACTACATAAGCAAAATGAAAAGTAGAAATTATATAATAATATCAGTAGATGCAGAAAAAAGTGTTTGACAAAATCTAGCACCCATTTATAATAAAACCTCTCAGCAAAGTGGGAATAGAAAGAACATACCTCAACATAATGAAGGCCATATATGACGTACCCACAGCTAACATCATAGTCAATGGGGAAAAGCTAAAAGCATCCCCTTAAGATCAGGAACAAGACACTTTCACCAGTTTTATTCAAGATCGTACTGGAAGTCCTAGCCATAGCGATCAGACAAGAAAAAAAATAGAAGGTATCCAAATTGGAAAAGAAGTAAAACTCTCATTATTTGCATATGACATGATACTATATATGGAGAACCCCAAAGATTACACCAAAAAACTAGTAGAACTGATAAATGAATTTAGTAAAGTAGCAGGATACAAACTTAATATTCAGAAATCAGTGTATTTTTATACATCAGTAATGAACTGTCGCAAAGAGAAAGAGAAATTAAGACAATCCCACTTGCAATTGTATCAAATAAATATATATATGAATAAATTTAACCAAGGAAGTAAAAGATCTGTACTCAGAAAATTATAAGACATTGAAGAGAGAAATTAAAGAAAATACAAATAAATGGAAATATATACCATGCCAGTGGATAGGAAGAATTTAATATCATTAAAATGTCCATACTACCCAAAATAATCTATAGACTCAATGGAATTCTTATCAAAATACCAGTGGCATTTTTCAGAGAAGTAGAACAAATAATCCTAAAATTTATATGGAAACATAAAAGATTCTGAATAGCTACAGCAATCTTGAGAAAGAAGAACAAAGCTAGAGGTGTCACATTTCCTGATATCAAATTATACACAAGGCCATAGTAATAAAAACAGCATGATATTGGCATAAAAACAGACACACAAATCAGTGGAACAGAATAGAGAGCCCAGAAATAAATCTGTGCCTCTATGGTCATTTAATCTATGACAAAGAAAGCTAGAATATACACTGGGCTGTAGACAGCCTATTCAGTAAATGGTGCTGGAAAAAATGGACAGACATGCCGGGAAGTGCCAAAAAAAATGTGTAGACAGACTTGTATTCATTTTTCCTTATCGGAGTATATTATTACAATTTTAATACAGTTTTTTCCTTTCTTAAAATGTGTGTACATTTTTTGGCACCCTCTGTATGTAAAAAAAAATGAAACTGGACCACCTTCATGCTCCATATACAAGAAGAAACTCAAAATGGATTAAAGAGTTAAATGTAAAACCCCAAACCATAAAACTTCTAGAAGAGAACATAGGCAGTAAACTCCCAGACATTAATTACCCTTAGTAATATTTTTACTGATACATCTTCTCGGGCAAGGGAAACAAGAAAAATAAAAAAAGGGGACTACATCAAACTAAAAACTTCTTACACAACAAAAGAAACTATCAACAAAATGGAAAGACATCCCACTGAATGGGAGAAGATATTCACTAATGATACATCTGATAAGGGGTAAATATCCAAAATTTATAAAAAACTCATACAACACAATACCAAAAATTTTTTTTTTTTAAATCAAGCAATCTGATGAACAAATGGGTAGAGGACCTGGATAAGCATTTCTCCAAAGAGGATATACAGATGGCCAATAGACATATGAAAAGATGCTCAATGTCAATAATTATCAGAGAAATGCAAATAAAAATAAAAACTACAATGAGATATCATCTCACACCTGTCAGAATGGAATGGCCATTATCAATAAATTACCAGACAGAAAGTGTTGGCAAGAATGTGGAGAAAAGGGAACCCTTGTGCACTGTTGGTGGGATTGCAAATTGGTGCAGCCACTATGGAAAACAGTATGGAGGTTCCTCAAAAAATAAAAAAAATAAAACTACCTTAGGACCCATCCATTACACTCTTGGGTATTTATCCAAGGAAACCCAAAACTCTAATTTGAAAAGATTTATGCACCCCTATATTCACTGCAGTGCTATTTACAATAGTTATGATATGGAAACAACCAAAATGTCCATCAATAGATGACTGGATGAAGAAATAGTCATACATGTACGCATATACAATACAGTATTACTCTTCCATAAAAAAGAATGAAATCTTAGCATATGTGACAACATGGATGGACCTAGAGGATATTATGCTAAGTGAAATAAGTGGGACTGAGAAAGATAGATACCATGTGATCTCACTGATATGTGGAATCTAAAGTACAAACTATACAAAACAGAAACAGACCCATAGATAGATACTGAGAACAAACTGATGATTACTAGACTGGGGAGGGGGATTGAGGGCTGGATGAGAAAGGTGAAGAGATTAAGAAGTACAAATTGTGAGTTACAAGAATCATGGGGATGTAAAATACAGTTGGGGAATATAGTCAATAATATTGTAAACACTATAGTGTCAGATAGGTACTGGACTTATCAGGGGGATGACTTTATAGATTATATAAATGTCTAACAACTACGCTGTACACCTTAAACTAATGTAAAATAGTACTGAATGTGAATTATAATTTACAAAATACTCATGGGGATCTATAGCACTACATAACGAATATAGTCAATAATATTATAATAACTGTGTACATTGTCAGATGGGTACTAGACTTATTGAGGTTATTACTTTGTAAGGTATATAAATGTGTAATCACTATGTTGTTTTGTACACCTGAAACTAATAATAATAAGAACCCTAATGGACAGTAGAGGTGTGGGGGCTACTTGTAGGTGTGTAGATTGCTGGTGGTATAAAGACTGCTGCAGGCATTCTGACCATTCAGCGTGTTTATTCATATTGGGTGTGTATACACCTTGTGATCTAGCATTCTACTCTGGGTCTACAGCAAGAGGATAAAGAGTCTCTTTCAGTTCTCAGAAGTCCATTGTCACTCAACTCCATAAAGAGCCATAGTGGAGACATTCATTTTATGATTCACTGAGGTGTTGAGAAGTTGGAGGTATACTGAATACTCATCACCAGGACAGTGAAGACACTCAGAAGTGTTCTGCAGCAATTGTTGTCCACATAACAACATGAACGGATTTTAAACAAAACAAAAAATTAAGAAACAAAATGAGAGCTATAACATATATGTAACATTTACATAAATTAAAATTTACGCATACGAAGCAGTCCTGACTGATCTCATACCATTCTTATGAGAACTGATTTTTTTCTATAAATTAAAAAAATACGTATATACGTTTTCTCAAAATCAGTGGTATTTATGTTCAAAATGCTTTCTTCTTGCAGATGTTGATGAATGCCAGGCTATTCCTGGGATATGTCAGGGAGGAAACTGCATCAATACCGTGGGCTCTTTTGAATGCAAATGCCCTGCTGGTCACAAGCAGAGTGAAACTACTCAGAAATGTGAAGGTGAGTGTCTCTACTTTGAGAGACAGGTCTAATGGATGACTCTGACTCCATTTTGAATTTTGAGGAATTTAATCACAGTTACAGTTATTTTAATATGAAAGTGGAGTCATAACCTTAGAGTAGTTTTGTATTGGTTTGTGCATTTTATGGGTTTGATTTGGGAAGAGCCAATGAGCATTTTGCATCTGGTTTATCTCAGTTTTTATTTTGTAATGAGAATGGGAATAATCCAACCATTTATATTGTTTTCTTTAATAGTTCTTTATTTCACTTACAAAATTATATGAAAGATTAAAATTGGGTAAAGAAAAGCCTAAATGAAATATGGTGTCATGCGTAAAATGATTCATTAGAAGTTGGAACTCTGTTGTATATTATAAAGTAAATGTTTTAATTTTTGTATTGAATATTGCTTGACTAGCCACCAAACTGAAATACATACATAATTGACTCAGGAAGGATTTGGAAGTTACCACAATAGGCATTTTGTGACATCATAGCTTACTCAAAAATATTTTTTAATAAATGATCTGGAATGTGACTTTATGGATTATAATATTAAAATGTAAATTCCAACAGCATTCCTCAAATAAAATAAATTAACTTGTTACATTTATCTGTGATCAAAATCTTCATCATAAAATTCAAGAAGCTTGTAAGTGTGTCTAGCTTTAATGAACATGGATATTTAGAATACTGATGTTCTGGTAGTATTGATGTATAGTGTTTATCTTTTTTGTTATTATATTACCCAAATCAATTTATCTCAACTAAGGTAGCTTTCTAAAGACAATAGAATATATCTGTTCTCATTTATTTTGTAACGTAAGCATTCCCATCTACTAAAGGTTTTTTAAAAAATTATCCTAGATATTTGTTTTTGCCATTCTAGTTTAACTGAGGTGGATAAATGTACATATATGGGAAGTTCAGTAACTCTGAGTTTAATCCATATGCATATTATGATCTTAACTGGGAGCATTTTCTTAGTTCACTAGGCTAAACGTACCAAACATGTATTATAATTGCTTCCTGTGAAAAAAAATCATCACAAGTTTATTTAGACCCACTTATCTTCAATAACTAAACTCATCTTCTGGTGTCTTTAACTAAGTCTTTTGTTATTTTCCTTTTCAATAGGCAGTATTTTGGGTTATTTTTTGTTGCTTGGTTATAAAAAATTGTGTTCCTCTCTGTAGAAGACAACAATAGGAAATGTAAAATCTGGAGTATAATTATAGAAGACAAACAGGAATATGAACTATTTTATTACACAGCAGGTGGAGTATGGGTGCACGTGCTATTGTTTTAACGCCAAAAATCATAACCCCATGAACCTATGGGACATGTACATATCATCCTGTATTTCCTATTTGCCTCAATTCATTTACAGTCAGCTCCAAAATAATCTTTATAGTTTTATACATTTTACATTATTACAACTTAATTTCATGCTCCCTGAAAGAGAAAGTAATAAAATGTGGTAAATTATTTTAAAGACCAAATAAATTCTCTCTCTGTTAGCATGAATGTCCACGTTTCAGGTGTATAATTCTGTAATACATATCTATATAGCACATTGTGTGTTCACCCCAATAAACTTTAATTAAGAAAAACAGAATCTTTTGGGCCGGCCGAGTGGCGCATTGGTTAGGAGTTGGCTTGGGACACAAGCTCTGAGCAGCAGGGGCCTGGTTTGGATCCCACATGAGGGCCAGTCACGCTGCACCCTGTACAGCTAAGATGGTGAACAACAGCTCGACCTGGAGCTGGGCTGCCGTGAGTCGCTGGCGACGGCGTAGGCTGCAGTGGGGCTGGCTGGCAGCTGGCATGAGCTTTCGTGAGCTGCCATGAGCACCGTCCAGTGGCCGGCCAGCGACTGCCTCACCTGGGAAGATAATACGCAGTGATAATACCAACACGGGCCAGTGAAGCGATGTCCTCCACAACTAGATTGAAGAACAAAAGGACAGCAACTTGTCTGTTCCCCTCCCCCAACTCCCCAATAAAATCTTTAATAAAACAAAAACAAAATCTTCTAAGTTTAAGAATTGAAAAATAATAATATAAATGAATACAATACGAAAAACAAAAAAAGAATGTCCACATAGTTTATGCTACCTAAGTACGATGTTGATCATCAAAGCCAGCCTTTATTGGAAAGGTTAAGAAAAATACTTGGGAGATGGGAAAATGATCTGAGTTAGCATAGGACTTGAACGAGGGAGTCAGAGATCCGCAGAAAGGGTGGTTGTGAGGCTGCTGTATCTTGGCTACTTTTTCTGTTTTCTCTCCTGACTTCTTTCTTTGGGGGTTGATTCTATCACTCAACCTTTTGCCACCCCCCTTCACTTTTTACTTCTGGAATAATATCCAAACTAGATTCAAGGGTGGTAGACTTAGGAACAAAGACAGTGTTTGATTATAGGTGAGAAGGCACAGCCACTTACTGATTAAAGTGGTTGTGACATTTCCATTAATCAACAAACAATGTATTTCTTCTTAGTTGAAAATAGAATGAGCCTTTTCTACATCACATTTCATCAAAACAACATATAGAGCCAAGACAGAGTTTGGAGAAAGACAGTGCGACTCTGTATTTGCACTTGTCTATGTTCTTTAGGAAAGGGGGCTATTGATGTAATGTAGGCACCACCCAGAACCCTGAATCCAGTCATCTCTTTCCTTACTTCCTGCCCAGGCAGCCAAATCCATTTAAGTATTGCCCAGAAAAAATTATGTGATTTAATATTTGGGGTTGCTGGGGAATAGCAGAATTGGAAGAAGTGGTGATTAGAATTTGAAAACTAAAGGTTTTATGAAGCCTTTACTTTGTGTGGAAGTCATATTTATTTGGATATGTCTTAAAAACGACTATTATCAATTTTCTTTGGGGAGTATTGTTCTATGTAAAAGATAAAGTGACATTTTCTTATATAAAATTATTTAATGTAAGTAGTAGCATAATATATCTGGAAAGACTAAACTATTGCATTACTCAGTGACAGGTTTTGAATTATAGTCAGTTTATGTATCGTTTATATAGTGTCAGTGTAAAAATGTCGACATAAATTTAGTGTTTGCCTCAAATAAAAACACAACCATAACATTAACTTTTGACCAGCTGTCAAAGGTAAGATATTTTAGTTTTTATGTAGATTACAATGTGAATATGAAATGTAGTAGTATTGGAAGATTTTTAAATGATGCTCTTCCTATTTCTATTATAGCATGTATCATATTTCTGTTCATACAGTGATGAAATTCTCTAGAGAATTTTTTTCTGTCTTTAATTTACTCATTCTGTTCAGAAATAAGAAAGGCCACTCCATTGTTTTGGATCTGAGTGACTGAGGGAATGGTTGTAATATTAATAAGGAACTGCAGGGTTAGCTTATTAAAATTAAAAATTGTGTTACTGATATTTTTGTGTTTGTTTACCATCTCACTTGAGTAAGATCCTTGAGGACAAAAACTCTGCCTTATTTATGGCTGTCTCCCAGAGCCTGGAATTGTTTATGATATTTCGTAGACTCCAAAAATATAGGTGTTGATTAATTGGGAATAGGGTGTATAGTAAGTTAATTTCTTTGACTTGGGTTGAATGTGTCCAAAAAGAAGGTTCAATTTAGGGCCAGAGTTAAAATTGTATTTGGAAAGACGCCAATGAGTTTCATCCTGGGAATTTTTCCTGCATTTGACTATTTTTCATTTTCTTAATTTTATTTTGCTCTGGCTGCCATTCATTGATCAAGAACATAAACATTAAACGCAGGCTGGCAGTTTTAGATCTTTGCATCATTGTCCCACTTTGTTGTTCCTCCTTGTTCCTCTGCAGGTAATGCTTCTGAGGTTAGGTACCTTTGCTCTCTACTTAAAAGAAAGAGCTGCTTGTACTATGGGATGTCTTCTTAACTAAAATATTATCCTAAAAGACTTGTTTTGCTGAAAATTTAAGTTTAAACATAGAAAGTTTATACTAAAGAGAAGAAAAAATGATAGGGGCAGCATTCATCTCATAATTTAATGTTTGAAGCATAGGCATTTTATTGGTCAGGTGGATTCTTTTATGGGATTCTTTTTTCTCACGTTCAGATATAGATGTCTGTCTAAGCTGTAAGTCTGAGCCCAAAGCAGAAAGGGATGTACGTGTGTGTGTGTGTGTGTGTNTGTGTGTGTGTGTGTGTGTGTGTGTGTGTTTCTAAAGGAGAATCAGTTATTTTCCCCCTTCACTCAGGATCCCAGATTCAAGAGAACCTCTATGCCTACTGAAGTCATGTCTTATTTCTCCTGGGCCAGTTTGGCTACAGATTTCCTAATTCTGTCATCCAGTGGGCAAAATGATTCTTTGGTGGAGTAAACTATTCACATCCAAAGAGAAGGTTGTTTCAGTTACTTGCTCTATTCAAAGATTCATTCATCTAAATATTTGTTTAATTTAAATGAAGAAGGGAAGCAGAACACATTAATGTAATATGAAATGATGTATCAGAAGACTTTCCAGAATTTTTCTTTATTTTTTATAATACAAGATGTTATTTTGAATTTCAGTCCACTTGGATAAAGCACAAGTAGGTGCCAGATGTCCTTGTGTGATCCCCCCTTCCAGACTATACCTTCTTTAACATTCCTTGAGCTAGTTATTCTTTCCTGGCTTAAGTGGAAGGCAGGAAAATAGCATCACTGTATTGGAAAGTTTCCCTTCAATAGCTCTTTATAGGTCAAATAGTTGTTTGCGGTTTATTCTGAAGAGTCTTCAGCTTTGTTCCATTACCACAGCATTTAGTTGTTTGAGATTTGTGACAACAAATATGTTTACTTACACACATGAAACTCATGAAACTTGTTGGAACAGTATCGTTAGCTGCTTCCAACTCTGCTTTTATAAACCATGGAAAATAAACCTCTGTACTAAACTAAAAAGTACTTGCTTTTATTCATATTACCAATAGTGTATTGACTTTAAAATAAATAATAAATAAATTCATTGAGTATTTCCC